GGCAAAAATCCAAAATAATTCCCAATTTAAAGTTAATGGAATATCTTTGCTTTTTAAACTTTTGTGTTGACAAAGCAAGCAATCTGTAATCTTAATCTGTAAAATTGAGATGTCAATTTTTGCTATTTATACATGAAGCACCCCTTCAATTAATCCACAAAATGATCAGCAGATTATTAATAATAAACAAAAGCGTTAGCTGAAGCCTTTAATGTCACTGCAATTGTATAATAAAGAATAGTTATAGTTAGGTTTAAGCTACACCTAGCTTCCTGACAATGTAGATGACAAATAACATTCACATCGTCAATCTAATTTAAAACTTCTTGTGACACAAATTGGGATTTGCCATTTGCAACAATTTAGTTGTACACTTGTCCAACGGCGGCGACAAAAATTACAGATCACTGGTCAAAGTGAATCTGAGTGATCTGCACTCAGAGTTGCACCTAGAGCACTCATTCTTCTGAGTGGCGTTTCAGCTCAGGGAGAGTGACTGAATGACATTTATTGTTCCCGACCGGCTGTCTGGGCAAAACTGTGTTCTGTTCGCATAAAACACTAATAGTGTTAGTCCACTGCAGGAGTTTGAGCTGATTTATAGCACTTTTTAGCACACAGAGGTCTTGTACCAGACAGAACAACCACTCCCTTCTCTTTTTTCTATCTCCCTTTTTAACAACTGTCCATCTGGCCTGGTGGGAGGCACTGATCCACCCTTGCCCTGGCACTTTGTTCCCACGTCAAACCACCAAACTAAAAATGTCAATTTAACTCACCACAAGCACTTGTCACTGCAGGACGAGCTTTGTCCCCAGGGTACAAGCTGCAAGTTTTATACAGAGCGCTATCAGTAAGGCTATTCTCCCTCCATCTCACATTTGAATCTTGTTCGCCTATCTCCTTTAAAGTGTTATTCCTGTGGTTAGATGGGTGAGAGTCTGTAGTCACTCAAGGGCTGCCAGAGATTCAACACTGCACTACTGCTCTTAGCCAGTCACATGCACACACACACACACAAAAGCTCAAGCAAATGAGTGGCGCAGACACACAGACACACAGACAGACAGGCCCAGACACACCATCTCCAAGAGGGAAGGTAACCAATTTCAAGGAGCTTGACACCTCAAGCCATTTCCCACTTTTCTCCCTCTCTACTCCCCCTTTCTCTCTATAGCTTGCACTCTTCTCCTGCTTCACCTGTCAAACCACAAAGAAAAATTAATTCACAGTGAGGAAAGGAACCATTTGCAGGTCTGGAGAGAAGATCCTGTCCTGGTCACTTGCTGCCCTTATGAGAAATGGTCAAATTAAAGCCTTCAGATTTAGAAAATACCCATTATAAGCAGCATTTTATTATCAGATGATGCAAATATGTCTTGATATTGTAAATTTAAATTTTCTTAGGAATAACTAAATACACTTCCTCTTACGCAGAGTTTATTCCTTTGGCTAAAACGTTTTTATTCTGTGGCAGTTTATTCAGCTCATGTTGATAACTGGAATAGAGTGAAGATGATATGATATGAACATATGCTCAACCCCTCTATGAACGTTTCATCTTGCCACTCCGTGCCCTTAAATACACTTGCCTGCTCGCTCAATCTGTGCACCTCATTGCAACATATGGCGAGTTTACGATGACTGTCCAGTCACAGCCACCAGCCAATATCAGCCAGTTTAGAAGTGAGGACATGCCATCTGTCAAAAAGCTGAATGCTGCTGCACAACTATATGATTTTGTGCCATGACTGACGAAACTCTAAGACTCTGTATGTGGCCGCACATTTTACCATGGAAAAAAACACGTGGCCCATGTACAGAAGGAGACGGTAACAAGGCAGAGGAAAGTATTTTATACAAATCTAAAAGAAATAAGAGAACGTCAACATTTGAGTTTTATGAGTGAGAAAAATCAAATGGCAATCTCTGTTTGGGATGAACATATGTTTTTTTGTGAAAAAACTGACAAGCTTGTTTATAGAGTCAAATCACCGTGGAGAACATAGCGCTGTTTTTCTTCAGAGATTGCTTTGGAAAAGGAAAACTGCACTCGCAGCTTTCTCGTTCTGGTTCAGTGTTACAATACAATGATACCATGTTTTCTCTTTCCTGAAATGAAAGAAAACACACCGCATCTCAGAACTGTGTACTATCATTCTGCTACCTGGGAAGGAAAAAAATAAAAAGTTGATCACTATCAGACCGAGCCAGTAATCAAAATTCTATCTCGCCCGTGGACTCTGGAGCTGTGAAGATCAACCACAGAACAAGATGTGGCCAAAACACTTTGGCCAAGCTGCAGAATGTCGGTAAAAGAATTACATCCCATCTGTTCTGGTGTTTATAATTAGTGGTAAATGCTGAAGGGGGAAATTAATCTAATTTGACAAAACAGCAATAAGAAGCAGAGTGAAATGGCCGAGCTTAGTGACAAGGCTATTATACAATGGAAAGAAATATGCAAAGTCTATGATAATTATCACAGAAATACTGGAAGAAGTGCAAAAACCCCCACTGCTGAAACAGGAAACATGAAGTAAGGGAAGATATAAATCAGCCTGTAACACTGCTGCTTAGTCAGTCTCTATTTCTCACACACACTTAGACTCTGCATTAATCCTATTGGCATGGGTTTATGCACACATGCATACTCATTAAAATCTGAGGGCATATACAGATGTCATCATTTTCCAACAGAAGAAAACCTTGAAAACTGGCACGTTTGCTATGTGTTCTTTTGTTTTTGAATGACATAGAATTTTTAGAGTAAGATGTTTGCCTATGAAACATTTTAAGGAGGTTGTGGCGGCAGATTGGTGCAGTGATTAGCACCATCACCTCACAGTAGGAAAGGTTTTGGGCAGGTTTGAGTGGAGCCTGTTCTCCTCGGCTTCCTCTGGCTTTAACGATTTCCTCCCACAGTCATGCAGATGAGGTTAACTTTCCACTTTAAATTGTTGCCTCTGCCCGGGGGGTTTTCATCCGTGTCTGTTTGTTTGCAGAATTACTTATGAGGCCTGGGAAAAATATATTAATTTTAGGATCAGATCCAGGAATAGTTGTTTTATACATTTCTATTTAAAGAACCTGATGATGGTGTGTAGGAATAATTGGCGGAGGTAAGCGCTCTTCTGAGAGCCATTTGATGTAGTCCTGAGGCACTGGCTCCCTGTCCAGGGTGTAGCCCACCTCATACACAGGGTCAATAATTTTTTCCATATTAACCATTTCCATATTAAGTGCTGTCACTTTCAATCATTTTCAAGATGTCTTGTCCTCAAACCATCATTGATTGAATTTTATTTGCCAAAGTCTCATTGAAAAGTTGGACAATATGATGCCTGTGTCCATACTAGACACGTAAGAACTTTTTAGAGATATAAATTTACGGTTTTGCAATCTCTTCAAATTAAAATGAGAACATGAAAACAAAAGACCAAATAACATTTACAGTATAACTGTTACTTCAACTTCATATGTAGAATGCTACACAGAACACCCGAGAGTTAGATTTACATATGCTAACGTATGCTTTCATTCCTCACTCCTACCATAGCAGAGGAGATTTCCTTTATGAATCGTATCCAACGCGTAAATAAAACATTGTCTATCTCAGAAGGCGTCTAAGCTGCTGCTCCTTCATTTAATCCTTGTATTCACCTCGCCTAACTCTTCTAGCCTCTTATCATGGCGGAGGGGGGATACTCCTCCTCTCATCATCAATCACCAGAACCTTTGCCCTGTCACCCTGCTAGCAGAGGTGTGGTGCCGTGGGCTATTGTTTTGCTCTGTTTTGTTTGCTGCATTAGACATTAGGTGCTATTTTTGGTACTGAAGGTCTTGTGGGTTGGCCCAGAAATGCTCCATGGTGATCTATATGAATGTTTACCTCATGAGAAAACTTCTGCAAAACTTCCTAAGCCAAGTGGTTTGCTGTTGCCCTTGGAAGTCACAGAAGAAGGGCGGGCATGAATGTTTGTGACTGATGAACTATTATCTCAAGAAATGTACAATCACAACGCTGCTCCCAAAAGGCCTTGAATGTCTCAGGTGCAAGACAAAAACATTCATTTCATTTTGAAGTATTGACAGACAGCACAGCCCAGCTCATATAAACTTACGAGAACCACATGAAGGCATCTGGCAAACAATCACCTCTTACACAAAGCTATACAGCCAGATCAGCACGGAGCTCTTGGAACATGGATGTAAACATAAGCTTGATAAAGTCTGTGTAGCAGCAGTGTAAAGCACAGCTTAGCAGCTCATATATAGATGTGATGAATGTAAAGGTTCAAAAAGAAACACAAAAAACTGTGTATATTTTGTTTCTGTTTTTGACCGACTGACCTAAGCTTCAAAACTTATAGGGTTGTCAGTTAAATTAATTCTGTGTATAAAGGGTATAAGTATAATACAAACACACACACATATGTATATACACATAGACACACTATATGGGTGTGTTTTGCTTTATGTTCTGTTACGCTCGGTTACTTTAGTGATCTGTATCAAACTTGTAGAAATTTGGAAAAGTGTGGACTGATATAAACAGACTGAATGAATGATGAATGAATAAATGAATGAATGAAAACTATAGTGTGAAAAAACTGTCTGACTAAAAAGCATGTGCAGAAAATGTGAATATGATTTAGCCCACAACATATTAAACAGAGAAAGTAAGGACGAGCCTCAAAGCAAACAAGCAACTGCAAGAAACCAAGCAACTAATTATAGTCAGACATGAGTGTTTCATCACCAGTCAACCAGCAGCATGAGAATCTCTATGCAGCAAGTCAAACAACACACGCATCATAATTAAAAAGCCACTCAAGTTAGTACAGCTGATGAATCATAGCAGGATGAATCATAACAGAAAGCCTCATGCAGGAGAACAAGCAGATTCACAGTGAGGCCTTTAAACATCCAGCAGCATCGAACCCTGAACATCACATCCACTCAGCACAGCCAGTTAGAACAAGCAGCGTGTACTTAACTTGTCGCAGTGAAGCGGTGATCCTCAGCGTGACGTGTCGGCCTGTGGGAGACGTTTCCACGCGCTGACAGCCGCTCTGGAAAACTTCGTGACGTCTGGAGTCACAGCTGATTGTGACGTGAGCGGGATCCTGGCGTCGGCAGCGGAAGCAGATGGATGGAATGGATCACAAACATCCTCATCATCCTCATCATCCTCCTCATCCTCCTCCTCATCCTCCTCCTCATCCTCATCCTCATCATCCTCCTCATCCTCCTCCTCATCCTCCTCCTCATCCTCATCCTCATCATCCTCCTCATCCTCCTCCTCATCCTCATCCTCCTCCGCTCAGGAAATAGCTGCAGGGTTGGCAAACCACGTGGTGCGTCGGCAGCGAGGTGAGAAAGGTGCGTAGACTCTGACAGGTTCAACAAGGGAGGGGCCAGGAGGAGAAGGGAGGAGCCAGGAGCAGCAGGTGGAGCCAGGTGCGCTGCGTAAAGGTGGCAGCAAAAATAAATTCCATGCTCATGTTTTGTTCGAATAATCTGAAAAATTAGGATCCGCCTGGTAAAGTTTACCCGAACAATTAAAGGAGTTCCCCAGATTTGTGAAGTATTTGCAATAAAAAAAATATATTATCATAAAAATGTCACGTGACAATAGTGTCACATTTAATAAGTTGACATTAGAATATAGTTGCTTTAATATTTAACCCTGTTTTAAAGTTATCTTTCCCTCCTATACAAAGTAGGCCATTTTAAAATGTGTTTAATTAATTTAATTATTTTAAAATAGTTTTTATAATCTCCATGTACTTGCTTATTGTGGGAACTTATGGTTTCTCTTTAATATTCTAATGTCTCTACCTTATAATGCAAAGTGCCTTGAGATCATGTTTGTTGTAATTAACTACTGCACAAATAAAGTTGGATTGAATTAAATTGAATGTTTATTTTTGATAGATAGATAGATAGATTTTTTTTTATTTCTCTTATTGTTTTGAAAAATGACACTGACATAAATTCATTCAACAATTCAAAGTCTTCTTCACTCTACTTGATGCGAGAGGAAACCGGAGCATCCACATATGAACAACCTCTGCCATCTTGTGCCCCAAATATACTTTTGCTGCCACAGTTGCTATATTTATTTTATCACAGAGAATTGTTTAATGGTCCTGTGACCTGACCTAGATCAATTGTCCTATTTTAGAGGCTTCATGCGTACAAAAGCAGAGATGATCCCCGGCCTGGATCCTGGGGGAAATCAGGTAGAGTTCTGCTCAACAAGCCAGAATACAGGACACGCCTGGAAGAAGTCAGGGAGCCATGAAATCTTAATGTTACTGTTCCTGTTACAGTGAGCAGAGCAGGTCCACCGGTCATCTCTGCCTCACCAAGATTAATGGCTTCTCTCACAGTTTGGGTTCCCATTACGTAGTTTGTCTGTCGCCACCTCGTTACAGACGCATCCCTCACTGCCAGACGGCCGAGGACGGCAGCCGAATGGTCAAACTCCTGCAAACCTAGCTCACATAAACCCGATATGCTCTGTACGGCACATGGCTAAGACCAGTAAATCCTCTCCCTTCCTCACAGTGTGCAGAAAGCAACACACTCTCCTATATACCTTTCCATGTCTGTATGTAAAATGTCTGGTAATAATGTATATTTTTATTAATTTAAGCATTACTTTAGTAAAAATAATACTTTTCTCTATTTTTACTTGATCCTGTGATAACCAGGGCTGTAATCAGCAATATGTTTTATAAGTATACTCCTTGATTATACCAATACAGGTATTTTCTCCCAAAAAATAGTACTTTAAAAGCTGTATACCATATATTTACACTAATACCATCATATATTGCAGTTAGTCTCCTTATTATCTAATTTGTCTACCCACCTGAGTGATTGACCATTTGTTGCATGCACATGTTATGTTAACTATGCTTTCGTGTGTGTGTGCAGAAAAGTTTTAGTGGTCATCACTTTTTGTACATCCTAGATAAAGTAGATGATATCCCACAGGAAGTTGGCGTCTGATGGCTGGATGAGCGACGGTAACTAATGGCATAGTGTCAAGCCACAGATAATGTATGGCTCCACATGCAGTTGGATAAATAGGATGTGGCCAGTGTGTGTGGTGTGTGTGTGCACTTGATGAGTGATATGCATTGTGTGATGGTGATGAACTATGTGCTTGTGTGTCTTGGCATGTGCCCACGTTCTCAGTTGGTCATGTGTGTTAGTAAAAATGCACCGCAAGGCTATTTATCAGCTGTCCATGACTTTTTTGTTGTGAAATAGAAATTCAGGCATCTGCATCCTCTCTCGTGTCTCTGATGAGTAGCTCTGTTAATAATTCATGGGCCATTCTGGATGCCGAATGGTAAGTTATTGTGTTTTTGCAGATCTATTCATCTTCATAGTGACTAATTTGCCCTGTGGTGTAATGGCACTGAGGACTTTGTGGGTGTAATGGGAGTCAATGACATTTTCTGGAGATGCGATTGCCCCAGCTTTTTTTCTTAACTTTATTTTTCCCTGCACACACAAATGAAAATGTGCATGCACATGGCACACACACACACACACACACACAGACACACTCACACACACTCTACAGAGATTTGTAAGCAGTTGGAGTTCATGTGGATTGGAAAAATCTCCCTAAGCTTGAGTGAATGCAGGCGCTCCATCCCTCACATCCATCCGCCTATTTATCTAAGTAAGCTACATGTAAGCTGTTATTTATGATGAGACTCTGGAGAATTAAGTGATCTAAGTAGCTTCTCTCTTATTATTGCTGTAATGCGCATTAAAGCATTAAAGCTAGCTGTGTATACTCTCCTGGTGGGTTTGTTCATCCATATTCATGAGGACGGGAGAATCTAAGGTTTGCTCTGTTGTCAGTACATTAATCTTGGATACCTCTCTCTCCCTCAGTCTCTGTCTTTCTCCTATGAGAGATTAGAAAGATCAAAATGTGAGGTAATGTAATAAACAGCTGTGATGGGCTGTCATGTCTGTATAATCCCTCTGGAAACAATTGGCTGAGGCTCTGTGTGGCACGCACACAACAAAAGCTGTGAATTCAAGAAAGAGACACATTTTATAGCACCTGTGGCTCTGGACGACACGTTTTCTACAAAAATTTTGCCATCAACATTTTGTTTTCTCAAGTTAACTAGGCAGTGGGCTCATTAGAAAGTTTTGAACTTCTTAGCGTTCATGTTTGTTCAGAACCCTGTGGGTACAAACTTTGAAATTGCCAAACAACAGAAAGGGAGCAGAGATGAAACCGATTTTGGAAAACTTGTTTGATGTATGTCAACAAGAACTCTAATAGTTTGCCGCAATCAATGAAACAAGCAGTTATGAGAGACAAACAGAGCATAATTGGAGAATGGCACTTTATTACAATTTATGGCCTGCCATCACTGTTAGTGTTCCCGTCGGATGGGATGATGCATACAGCATGTTCTCTGAAGAGAAATATTCAGATGTCTTTAAAAGAAAAGAAAGACATTGTCATGGCTTTGTGGAAGGAGAAGAAGGGAGGAAAAGGGGGAGGTAACAGACAGAGGGGATGAGAAAAAGAGCAGTGTCGAAAACAACATAGATCACTCACCTCTTTCCGCTCGTCCTTCTCCATCCCTCGGTCCCACCGTCCCGCTGACAGAAATACATTAACTGAGACACGCTCGCCTTGAAGTTCCTCCCTCAGCAGCTGCTGTCTCAAACACTTTATTGAGTTATTGAACAGAGAAAATATATGACGAATGGAGTCAACAGACTGGACTTTGGTTTACATCCTTATCCAAACACACTGTGTTTACCACAGGAAATCAAAGTATAAATCTCTTTCCCAGCCCTTGTGCAAATCAATAGCCTGCTTCAGATACCTTCAGGTGTCCATTGACAAACACACAAGAATATAGAAGCTCCTTTTCTTCCTTTAGTAAAGGTAATGTGATTACGTTTGCTCATGCACAGTTTTTAGAAGCCATCCCTCTCTCAGATAAATGATCCAAATATCACTTTGCAAGGTGGAAGGAGACGTGTGAATCAACAATCATTTACATTTTACAGGGAAGACAATGAAACTGGGCAATACTCCCCTAAAGTGAATATACAACGTAAACAACTGTGCATTAATCATACTTCATGCACTGATCTAAGACTTGGCATGTCCAAAATATGGATGTAAATTATTACAAAATGTATTTGAGCAAATATGGTACTTTTCTTTTGAGTGACAGAACAGGTGGGACAGCTACATGGATTGTTGGTGTATGTCAGTGTACACCAAACGATTTTGATTCGATTCCATCATTGTGAGGACATTTTGACTGGTCCTCACAAATTATATGGTTAAGGTTAGACATGGTTAAGGTTACGGTAAGGGGCTAGGGAATGCATTATGCCAATGAGTGTCCTCACACTGTGTGTGTGAGAGAAAGAAAATGTGCAGAGTGCAGCTAAAAGGGTGGCGAGAGCTCTCTCTGTGTCATTGGATGAATCAGCATGTTGTTTACTGAAGTTGTTGGAGCAACAACAGAGCCGTACCCTCTGGGTCCCAGTGAGCCTCATTAGCTGCTGCCATTTCAGCTCCTGTTCCCTTGTTAATCACCTCAGTCGATCACCTGAGTGCAATCAGTTAAATTTAGTGATTAAGTCGAGAAAGCTGAAAAATGCAGCTCAGCGTAGATTCAGGTCGTTACCAAAGAAGCATGTACCTGCTGGCAAGGAGAGCTTAGTCAGGAGACTGGATCTGGAGCTGGTTTTGAGCCAGTGTGAGTCCTTCTGATATAGACTGTATATAAAGATGGATGACATGACAGCTGCAGAAAGTGAAGCCAAAGTGTACTAATCACCACCTGGTGGCTGGCTGCAGTATAGGTTATAAATTCCACCTCCTCCACGTTGGTGAATGGGACATGGACCAAACTAAAAAGTCACAGTCCTTACTGTGCAGACACTAGTTTCAGATGTCTGAGATATTTTGTCTTCATTTCTGGAAGAAGGTGGCGACACGTTGTCCTTCTTTTTGTACAGTCTACGATCCTTCTCAAACTGATGCTCTCTAATTTGTCACTTTTGTCTCTTTGTCACATATGAACTGTTACTGTCTTGGAAAGCTATTGCAATGTATTTTAATTTTCTATTGTAAATGTTTTAAACTTTCTTAGATTGTCTGATAAGGGAAAAGGA